CATATGTTTGTTCTCTACATCTGTGTCTCTATTTCTGCTTTGCAAATAAGATCATCAATACCATTGTTTTAGATTCCACATATATGCATTAATATATGATATTTGTTTTTCTCTTTTTGGCTTATTTCACTCTGTATGACACTCTCTAGGTCCATCCATGTCTCTACAAATGACCCAATTTTGTTCCTTTTTCTTGCTGAGTAATATTCCATTGTATATGTGTACCACATCTTCTTTATCCATTCCTCTGTTGATGGATATTTAGGTTGCTTCCATGTCCTGGCTATTGTAAATAGTGCTGCAATGAACATTGGGGTGCATGTGTCTTTCTGAATTATGGTTTTCTCTGGGCATATGCCTAGTAGTGAGATTGCTGGGTCATATGGTAGTTCTATTTTTGTTTTTTTAAGGAACCTCCATACTGTTCTCCATAATGGTTGTATCAATTAACATTCCCACCAACAGTGCAAGAGGGTTCCCTTTTCTCCACACCCTTTCCAGGATTTATAGTTTGCAGATTTTTTGATGATGGCAATAGTAAATATTTATACACCCAACATAGGAGCACCTCAATACCTAAGGCAAATGCTAACAGCCATAAAAGGGGAAATTGACAGTAACACAGTAATAGTGGGAGACTTTAACCCTCTACTTATACCAATGGATAGATCATCCAGACAGAAAATTAATAAGGAAACACAAGCCTTAAATGACACATTAGACCAGATAGACTTAACTGATATTTATAGGACATTCCATCTGAAAGCAGCAGAATGCATTTTCTTCTCAAGTGCACATGGAATGTTCTTCAGGATAGATCACATCTTGGGTCACAAATCAAGCCTCGGAAAATTTAAGAAAATTGAAATCGTATCAAGCATGTTTTCTGACCACAACGCTATGAGATTAGAAATCAATCACAGGGAAAAAAACGTAAAAAACACAAACACATGGAGGCTAAACAATATGCTACTAAATAACCAAGAGGTCATTGAAGAAATCAAAGAAGAAATTAAAAAATACCTAGAAACAAAAGACAATGAAAGCACAACAACCCAAAACCTATGGGATGCAGCAAAAGCAGTTCTTAAGAAACTGATATTATCTTTAAATAGGTAAAGAAACTGAAGTAAAGAGAGCTCAAGCATGCTAAAGTCATATAACTAGTAAATGGCAGAGCCAGGATTTGCACTCAATCATTTTGACATCTCAAAATATTTGGCCATTTACTTAAATGATATTGTTTCCCACATGTAAATTTTACTTATTATTTTTTAAATCCAAAGAAAAAACAAATACGATATTTTGAACTAATTTTGGGGAGGTTTTAATCAGCAAGATGTATGCCAATTGTCCTGGATTACCATAAAGAAGTTACCTTTGCTTTATAGATGAGCAATAATTATATATATCTCTAAATGAACATTTAGGTAAAATTTGGGGCACTCAAGCCCCCCAAAAATTTTCATTCCCAAGACTTACTTAGATGATGTTTAAGGTTTTTTTTTTGTGTGTGTGTGTGTGCTACGCGGGCCTCTCACTGTTGTGGCCTCTCCCGTTGCAGAGCACAGGCTCCGGACACGCAGGCTCAGCGGCCATGGCTCACGGGCCCAGCCGCTCCGCGGCATGTGGGATCTTCCTGGACCGGGGCACGAACCCGTGTCCCCTGCATCGGCAGGCGGACTCTCAACCACTGCGCCACCAGGGAAGCCCTGTTTAAGGGTTTTTTGTTTTGAATTTGTTTTTTATCCTTCTGTGTTTTTCTCCTTTATTAATAAATATTAATAAAGGATATATTTACAAGGGTAATTTTATTTTGAAATAGGAGAAAAGGAAATTCGTGCTGCAATAATGTCAGAGTTTCCAGAGGAAGATGTTGTGAAATTGTTTGTCTAAACACATTTTATTTGGGGTTCAGTATGAATTTTCAATAGATGATTTTTAGATAAGGAAGCGGTAATTCAAACGTGATTATATAAACAAGAAGATCAGAGAGGAATTATCCTGAAGGGTATAAAATGAACCAAGAGCTTCTAGTCTGGGTCATTACAGCATCAGCTCCCCAATGCAAAGTAAGGTAGGTGTCTACACTGAGAAGGCATTGTGAAATGAAATGTTGTTATTCTAAATTATTTTCATTTTCATCATTTTAGCATTTATTTCAAAATGGCAAATGCTGAGTGACAATTTGCTTTGATAGGCTCTAGAAATTCTAGTTATTGCTCCAAAATTGTTCAGTGATAGGTGAAGATGAATGAACTACATATGTAAGGGTAAGAAAATATTCTACTGACTTCAAAGAAGAGGAAAAATTGGTCAATTTCCTAATGAAGGCTGATTGATATTCATGGCCTTCCCTTACTATTTACATTTGATTTAAATGTTTTAATCAGTTAAATAATCTGTGTATTAAATCCTGTCAATTACTAATGGTTATCTTTGATGATAATGTACTTCTGAGAAAAGTTGGGAATAACTTCAGTTTTGGGTACCTGCAGAGGTAATTTACTCTTTATTGTTTTAGTTATAGCTAACCCCCCTTGGATAGTTTCCAAAGCACACACCCGACTTATAGTACATTTTGCTCTCTAGAAAACTGTATTGCTTTAGTGAACTTCCTGGAGTTCACAGGGTGGACAATTGATTCTTTTCATAGCACAGTAAGGGATTTGGGGAGAAAAGATTGGTGAAGGCAATTAGCAGATTAGAGAGAAATGTGCTTAAGAATGAAGGTAGTGAGAACAAAAAGATGAGAGAAAAGGCTGGGTAAGGGGCAAAGGAAAGAGGATATCTTGGAATAAGTACAAATGTTGAAAGTGTAGACATAGTGGTCATGGCACTGAAAAGGGCATCTCTCATTATTTAGGGCCTAAAATCACACCTCTGTTTAGGTGCTCAATAGATCATTTATGAATGATTTTAAAAGAGGCAATTAAGTTACAGAGGATGAGAATCCAGGTGACAATAAAGGAGAAACTGTGGCAGATCATCTAGGGAGGTATTAACTAACACTGATTTATATACTCAGTATTATATAGTTACATAGTTTTCTGTAGCATTCCAAGTGCTTCACATGTATTGCTTTATACTTATTATGATTTTAGGAAGGAGTATATGGAAAAATGAAGGTACAGATTTCTTAATTTCTCAGTTACACACAATTGCAATAAAACCTGGAAGCATAATTCTAGGTCACTATCTCTTAGACCAGGGACCGGACACTAATTTATCACATAGGATCATAGTCTATTTGTGCTGAAAAGTCCTTCCTGATCATCTTGTGGTTCTAAGCCTTTTCTTTTACAGCTGAAGAAATTGAGCCCCAGAAAGATTCTTTGGGTGAAGTTTTACTATTTGCAATAAAGGAGAAAGAATAATTCTTACTTTCTTTACTAAGTTATATAGCTACTGCTGCTGCTGATTCAGCACTTTTAATTTTTCTTTTTGTTAATTTGGAGTTTTACATTTATAAGAGGAACTTCAGACAATGTAAAGTGTCCATAATGAATATGACAACAATGGGTAAAAGTTCCAAAACTGTTTTTTCTTCTACAGTTTTAAAAAGGATCAGGTGTACTTGTCTTTTTCTGTTTTGCAGATGGGGAAATTAGGCCCAGATAGATTCAATATTTTAGTCGATTTCTCATAGATCCATGGGAGATCTTGAAATAGAATTCTGTTCCTTAACTCCAGGACCAATATTCTCACCACTAGGTCAGCACATATCTATTTTATATAGAACATAGAGCTAAAAGTTAAAATATGTGAAGTTAATTATTTCCTATGGCAAAAATTCAGTAGCTGGCTGGCTAGATGGGCAAGAACCATATGATCATGACAGGTGAATATTTTATATCATTTACTCAGTCTATTTTTTTTTTTTGATGTGGAAATTTTTAAAGTCTTTATTGAATTTGTTACAATATTTCTTCTGTTTTATATCTGTTGGCCGCAAGGCACGTGGGATCTTAGCTCCCCGACCAGGGATCGAACCCGCACCCACTGCATTGGAAGGTGAAGCCTTAACCCCTGGACTACCAGGGAAGTCCCTCAGTCGATATTTTTAAGATCCTGCAGAGGATCCTCTAAGTCTGTGGCTCTAAAATAATGGAACCAGCTCTATACCATAGAGGGAGCTCACGTTTGTGAAGCACTGAGAAAACCAGACTCCATGAGCAAGGAATTCTTATAACTTTGCTCCGTGATTGAAATACCAAAAAACCTCCAAGGAATGCTTAAATATGCAAATTTCATTTGAAAGTATTCACCAGAAAACACTTCTTAATGGGTTAGTTCACTTCCTTGTCTATATAGGAAAAAAACTTTGATTATTGTGGGTGTCAGAGTGATAATTTCAAGTCATTCAGAGCACTTAAAATACTACCTACTTTTTGTTAACATTTGTTCTTATATATCTTGAGTGACTATCTAGGAGTAGAATTGCTGGGTGATCAGTTAAGCGTATGTTTAATTTTATAAGAAACAAACTGATTTTCAAACTATTTGTATGTACCATTTTACCATCCCACCAGCAACATATGAAAGTTCTAGTTGCTCAAAATCATCACCAACACTTGGTGTTATCAGTTAAACAATATGTATTTTTATTATTAGTGTTCATAGTTATCTCCTACACTAGACTGTCAGCCCTTGAGGTCAAAGACCATAGCTTATCCATTTTGTGTCTGTCAGTGCCTACTTTAAATGCTCGATATATGTTTGTCTAATTTATCGGCAATTCTCATTCTCCAAACAGGAGACTGGTAGGAATGCCCACTAATCTCTGGAAGTTGACATTTAAAATAAATACCTGGTAGCTTGTTGAATGTGGTTTCATTTTTTTCTTACAAGCTAATTAAAGACAAAAATTCTTGTTAACTGAGGCAGAGTCTATGAGATTTCAGTTAATGGAAGTTTCAGTGTATGTAGCTTAAAGATGCTCTTGGGATATAATTGATAGATTTGAGGAAAAAATTGAGAAAAATCTTGATACATTTTTCATGATTGAATAACAACATTTAATGAATTATAATTTATTTAATAGAATAATAAAACAAGTTTGTGTTCAAAGGTAATACTAGTCCATTAAGATATGTATTTTCTTTTCTGACAATGATACTTGAGAAGGAAAAAAATCCAAATATGCCTAGCTAACTGTACAATCTTTGAAGTGATCAACTTACATCCAAAAGTCTGAAACTTGATTACCCTCTCTCAGTAGCAAAACTTAAATAATTATAAGTCATAACATTATCCAACTCATTACAAAGTCCAGTTGATAGTGAACACACTCTTCATCAGACAGGCTCTACAGAGATACGTATTCTGCCTGAGGCACAGTGGATCCTCTGTTGTCTTCCGTTCACCCAAAACTTATTTTACTTTCCTGGCTAACTTACAGTGGACCTGTCATCCTTGATTGTATTACTCTCATTGTGTCAATCTGTATTTTTTGCCTCCACAATCTTTTTAAGATAATGAATTCCATACAATTTCTGTGTAAAATAATTTTATTTTTCCAACTCTAATTCTTTCAACCTTAAAGGATATCCTAAGGGTTGAGAAGAGGGGTTTTTAGATTTCTGGGTTAGCCCCTTAACACCAGTGGTAGATTTAGCTGACCTTTAGCCTTGTCTTTCTTGACAGGCATTGGGTAGAATCATATGCAAGACTGTTTGCATTGAGCTGGTACTGAAGTTTGATTATGCACTTCCTTGATTTCTTTGCCTTTTCTTATTATGACCAGTTTGTTGGCCTTTTAAGCTATTGAATCAAAGTTTTTAGAAAAGCACATTTCTGGGAAAGCCCTTACTGAAGCCTGTTAACTCACTTCTTATAATGATAAAGGCAGGTATTTTGATTGTTTCCATTGAATGAATTATTTTGTACTTAGTTGACATACGTGTCCCTGCCACTTTTCTGTTATAGTGTTTCAGGCTTGCCATTTCACTGCCCAGTGGAGCTAAGTGGCACCTGCAAACAGGACTTTCACTATGTGAGCTCTGTCACTATGGGGTATGTGGATCATAGCCACATCTAAATACATAAAGAAAGGTTACTGAGAGTATTAACTATGTAAAAACACCTAATATAGGGCCTAGGACAAAGAAGGCATTCAATAAATACATATATTTACACACACACACACATACACACACATTATAGCTCTTTCTGAATGTCCCTTCTGAATGTCCTAAAGGATACATGTAATAGATTCTTTAATTTTATCTTTGATTTAGCATGACTGCTATCTTCCTGATGTCCATGCTTTTTGGCCTTGCATGTGGGCAAGCAATGGCTCTTTGTATTCCAACTGAGTATATGATGCATGTCGAAAGGAAAGAGTGTGCTTACTGCCTAACCATCAACACTACCATCTGTGCTGGATATTGTATGACACGGGTATGTAGTTCATTTCACTTCTTTTAGCTGAAAATTAGATAAACCTAGACTCAGTCCATTTCTATCCAGAGAGAAAATGAGATAAAACACAACCTCATTTCCAAAATCTAACAGTTATTGGCTCTGTAGAGGTAGAGTACACAGGTTACAGTATCTACTCAGCACAGTGGATACAGATAATTTTATAACAGTTTTACTTCCAAAATTTATTTAAAACTTATCTTGTTCTCATGATATAAGGTAAAAGAGGGGGTGTCACTTTTGTCTCTATGGGATTTAGTGTGGATATGTTGAGTTAGTACCGGGGAATGGAACTAAGGAATCCTCCTCCAGTCCTGTTTGTGACAAAGGAATATAAGTGAATTGATTTTTATCTGTTTCCATTATCTATATACTTTCTAAAGTCCTATCACAGTATGCTCCTTTTTTAATTCTTTCCCCAGGACTTCAATGGCAAGCTGTTTCTTCCCAAATATGCTCTGTCCCAGGATGTTTGTACATATAGAGACTTCATGTACAAGACTGTAGAAATACCAGGATGCCCACGCCATGTTACTCCTTATTTCTCCTACCCTGTAGCTATAAGCTGTAAGTGTGGCAAGTGTAATACTGACTATAGTGATTGTATACATGAAGCCATCAAAACAAACTACTGTACCAAACCTCAGAAGTCCTATGTGGTGGGATTTTCTATCTAACTTCAATTGTGATGTAATTTGCAATTTGGTTAAATGTGTTTACCTGGAATAAAACTAATAAAATATCGATATATTTCACAACACCATGTGTACATTTGAGTACTATTTCATCCATACCCATACCCATTCATGCATTAGCGAGCTTAAGGGCTTTAGAAGAGAAGGTGAGTGAAAGAGCATTTCCAGCTCATATGAAGGATGGTTTCCACATGAAAGGGCAGAGTGCAGGTAAAATGGAGAACAGGAACATGAAATACTAATGAAAGACAGCGTTAATCAGGCTGTCTTAACAGAGGGCCACGAGGTTTGTCTTGACATAGAAAATGAATATGGGAAAGCTACAGAGTAATGTGATCAACGGCTGAAGGAACAAACGGTGTCAGCATACTGGAGACACCTACTTCCAAAGGCTGAAACGGGGCTGGAGTAGAGAGAGAGAGTAAGGAATATATGAAATTTGCAATATACTACTTTATCCTGTCATTCAAATACACAAGATAAAACTTCACCAAAACTCAGTAAACAGTATATTTTAATCTATTTAATTTAATTACTCTGGTGGGCCTACTGACTTATGAAAGTTATACTCCAAAAGCCTAGAAAAGAGGCCACGATCATTTTACATGTAGAAGTCTAAATCCTTTGTAGTCTTTAAGGTAATTTGAGACACTTCCCAGCAACTTATGCTGTTTTGGCTTTCGATGTCATGAAAAACTATTATGATTATGAAAGATTTTAGGAATAGTGGTAGAGTGCTAAGGGATCTAACAGAGAGGAATCATCCTAAATTCTAACCTAAACCTTCAATAGTTAAACACTGTTTTCCAGTAAATGTGCTTAGAGAGTGGTTTATTTTTCTCTTCCTTCCTTAGGTACTCTTTCATTTGAGTTTGGTTTCAATAGCTGCGTGAAGTGAGACAGACCTAGTGTCCTGCTGACTTGACCTCATAAAAGATGACTTATCCTATATTTTTCCATTTCTCTCTATCCAAATTGCTGCCATTGGGTGAAAATCAATTGTCAGCAGGGCCAGTTGTCTTTGTTATATCCTAGTCATTGGTTGCATTCATCTGGGCATGTTGTAAATGCCTGCAGGCTGACAGTGTCCAAAGGGGGGATGCTAAGGTGGTGTAGATGGATTAGTACCAAACCCATGCTCTGCCAATGGGGACAGAATAGTTGTACATTTATATGCAAAGTCATGAATCCACATTATTCTTACCTTAACATGTGAAGTCAATGTTATCATGATCTCCAAATATTAATCTGGGGTTTTGGGTTCTCATATCACTTGACAATATGGACACTTAAAGCTGTAGAATTAAAACATTCCCTCTGAAAACTGTATATCAAATATAGATTTTTGATTAATCAAACGTAACTGGCACTAATCACACATGCCTTGCACAGAATCTGAAAAATGTTTTCCAAGGACTTGAGCTGTGGAAAGCCTATGGGGTTCAGTGAGGCCCCTTATAAACAGTCCAGCTCAGAAGACATTCATTAAATGGGCTTCCTCAGCATTCAGGGAGGAGGCTAGGCCTGGACATGGGTGTGGTGGCCTGTATCAGCATGGAGCCCTAGAGTGAGTGCATTAGAGACTACTTGTTGCTTTCCACTGAAGGCAGTCCATTTGGATTAGATGCATATATAAATTATCTTAAACTACTTTTGAAAATGGAGTTGTCCAAGGCAAAGAATCCTTAGAAAAGAGCTTAGGAATTGGCATGACCAAAAATTTACCTCAGCTAGATCCAGAAACTTGGGTATATGGAAATGCTATTTTGGAATGTATTAGTGTTCTCTGGGTTTAGAAGTGGGAGAATGAATAGAGAACTTAGAGATGGGGAAGTGAAGAATTATTGCTTGTGTGAGAAGAGAAAGATGGAAATTTTGGAACATCTTCTGAACTGGTCTTTAATTCAACCTGAAGTTTAATAAGTCAGTTTTTGGCAGAGGAATTTGAGATTCAGTTCTTTAAAAAGAGTCCCTCTTGTTTCTCATTTGACTTTGAAATATAAAGAGTTCTTTCATAACTAAATGGATGCTGCTAGTAATAGAAATTCTCTTTTAGAGGGAATGTACCTCAGCATAATAAAGGCTATATATGCAAGCCCACAGCTAACATCATACCGATGAAAACATTTTCTCTAAGAAGAGGAACAAGACAAGAATATCCACTCTTACCAATATATTGGAAGTCTTAGCCAGAGCAAGTAGACAAGAAAAAGATAAAAGACATCCAAATTGGAAATGAAAATGTAAAATGGTCACTACTGCATGATACTATATATAGAAAACCCTAAAGACTCCATCAAAAAACTGTGAGAACTAATTGCAGGATACAAAATCATGTACAGAAATCAGTTGCATTATATATACTAGTAAAAAACTAACAGAGACATTAACAAAAGTATCCTATTTACAATTACATCAAAAATAGATAGAAGGTAAAGACCTGTACACTGAAAACTATAAGAAACTAATGAAAGAACATGAAGAAGACACAAGTAAGTGGGAAGATAGTCTGTGCTCATGGATTGGAAGAATTAATATTGTTAAAATAAATGTCCATACTACCCAAAGTGATCTACAGATTCAAAGCAATCTTTATCAAAATTCCAATGCCATTTTTTACAGAACTAGAACAAACAATTCTAAAATTTGTACAGAACCACAAAAGACCTCAAATAACCAAAGCAATCCTGAGAAAGAAGAACAAATCTGGAGCATCATCCGTCCTGATTTCAAACTATATTACAAAGCTATAGTAATCAAAATAGTATGGTATTGGCATTAAAAAAAGGCACTAAATCAATTGAACAGGATAGAGAGCTCAGAATAAAACCATGCATATATGGTCAATTACTATAAAACAAAAGAGCCAAGACTATACAATGGGGAAAGGACAGTCTCTTCAATAAATGGTGTTGAGAAAACTGGATGTCTACATGCAAAAGAATGAAACTGGACTGCTTTCTCACACCATATACAAAAATCACCTCAAAATGCATTAAAGACTTAAACATAAGACCCGAAACCATAAGTCTCCTAGAAGAAAATGTAGGCAGTATGCTCTTTGACACTGGTATTAGCAATATTTTTTTTCAATCTGTTTCCTCAGACAATGGAAACAAAAGCAAAAATAAATAAACATCAAACTAAAAAGCTTCTGCACAGCAAAGGAAACTATCAACAAAATAAAAAGGCAACCTACTAAATGGGAGAAGGTATTTGAAAACAATATATCCCATAAGGGGTTAATATCCCAAATATACAAAGACTCATGTAACTTGACATCGAAAAAAAAAAAAAAATGAACAGCCTGATTTAAAAAATGGGCAGAGGACCTGAATAGACATTTTTTCCAAAGAATACATGCAGACAGCCAACAGGTACACAAAAAGATGTACAATATCACTAATCATCAGGGAAATGCAAATAAAAACCCCAATGAGATATCATCTCACATCTGTTAGAATAGCTATTTATCAAAGAGACAACAAATAACAAGGAGAAAAAGGAACCTTGTACACTGTTGGTGGGGTTATAAATTGGTGGAGCCATTATGGAAAACCGTATGGAGTTTCCTTTAAAAAAATGGAAAATAGAGCTACCATATGATCCAGCAATTCCACATCTGGATATTTATCTGAAGAAAATGAAAATATTAACTGGAAAAGATATATGCACCCCTAAGTTCATTGCAGCACTATTTACAATAGCCAAGATTTGGAAACAACCTAGGTGTCCATTGATGGATGAATGGTTAATGATGTGGTAGATATATATAATGGACTACTGCTCAGCAGACAAAAAGGAAATCTTGCCATTTTCGGCAACATGGATGGACGCCGAGTGTATTATAAGTGAAAAAAGTCAGATGGAGAAAGACTGCCAATCATTGCCGTTTGATTTCACTTATATGTGGAAAGAAAACCCCCAAAAAGCCCATAGAAAAAGATAACAGGTAGGTGCTTGCCGGAGGTGAAGGGTGGGGAGGTAGGTGAAATGGATGGAGGGAGTCAAAAGGAAAAAACTTCCAGATATAAAATAAATAAGTCATGGCGAGGTACAGCATGGCGACTGTAGTTAGTAATACCGTGTTGTATAGTTGAAAGTTGCTAAGAGAGTAAATCTTAAAAGTTCTCATCAGAAGAAAAAAATTCTGTAACTATGTGTGATGACAGATGTTACCTGGACTTATTGTGGTGATTATTTTGAAATATTTACAAGTATTGAATCATTATCTTGTACACCTGAAAGTAATATAATGTATGTCAATTATACCTCAATTTTTTTAAAGTTGTTTTTTATATAAGAAATTACCTCTCCCCCGTTTATTGAGCAGCAAGTCTGAGTTTAAGTGCCATAAAAATTCTTATATCATGGTATCTTCCACTCTAGTTCTAATGTTCAGTGTTGGGTTCTTCCTTACCCTCTCATTTCTTTTGACCAATTCTTACTTATCTTTTAACACAACTCTGTCTCACTTTCTCTACTTCTATTACCCTCCTTTCACCTACCATTTTTGCCTGGCTAACATCCATGTCCCTTCTTTTGGTAGCTGCACCTTGATTTTCCTTTGGGGGCTCTCCCCCCATCCTTTTCCAAGTCAAATGGTTTGAGTGGAGCTGATGGAGGTAGGCATGCTACTTAAGCTCAACCAAGCCTGATGGATTAAGGGGTGGACATATGACCTAATCTCTTCCAGTAGGAGTCAGTCTCAGGGCTTTAACTGTAACTGTTGGACAAAGAGGAGTGCTTGGCCTGTTGGGGTTTCTAAGCTGCTAGAATGTGAACCTAGAGCCACTGCTAGCCATCCTTGGCATCTCCTAGAAACAGCCAGCCTGAGAATAAAGCCAACCCAGAGAAGAACAAGAGAGTGAGGAAAGGGAGACCTTCTGATATCAGTAGGTCTAATCTGAAGCCAGCTTCAACCCTTAAAGAAGTCATAACTTTCCTGTTCTGCTTAAGCTAGAGTTGGGTTTCTGATACTGTTTCAACTGAAAATTACTGATTGATTCAGCACCTTTTCCACTAGTTTAAAAAGATGCTCCTCATCCCATCCTCCATTTCCTCCAGGACCTTGCTGTTTCCTCTTCTATCTTCTCTTACTTCTGCTTTATGGACTCCTTCGCTTCAGTATAAAGCATCCTTGAATGGTTTCTCATCCAAAAAAAAAAAAAAAAAAGCAAACAGCTCTCTCTCGACCCTGTGCAACCTTATATTTATTTACCCCTCTCCTTGAATTCTTATTCCAGGTTCTTTGTGAAATAGCCCTGTCTCAGTCTGTTTGGGCTGCTATAGCAAAATACCACAGATTGGGTAGCTTATAAATGACAAAAATCTATTTCTCACAGCTCTTCCGGCTGGGAAGTTCAAGGTCATGGTGCCAGCATGGTCATGTTCTGGTGAGAGCTCTTCCTGCTTCAGAGCTGGCTCCTTCTTACTGTGTCCTCACTTGGTGGAAGGGGCAAGGGATCTCTGTAGGGTTTCTTTTTATAAGAACACTAATCCCATTCATGAGGGCTCCACCCTCATGACCTAGGCACTTCCCAAAGGCCCCACCTCCTAATACTATCACAATGGGCATTAGGATTTCAACATATGAATTTTAGGGAGAAACAATCAGACCAGAGCAAGACCCTTACACTAAATATTTACTGCCTCACTTCTCATCGTCTTCCTAACCCATTACAATTTGACTTCCACTCCTATCTTCCCTTGAAACTGTTTTCAATAAGGTCAACAAAGACTTGCTAATAGTCCAATATTCAGGACAATTTTTAGTCCTGATCTTCCCTGACCTTTCTGCTTCCCTAGAGGGCCCAGTGGAGGTCACATATCTGGAGTCTCAATGTAATACATTCATGGCATTTATAACCAGTCCTAATGAGGCTGAAGTCAACATTTTCTCCTGTCATGCCTTTATACCCTTTTTCTCTAAGATGACTCAAAATCTATGCTATGGTGTTTAGCAGGCAACAGTAATATAGTTCTGGACTATACTTCCTTCTGGGAATGTAATTTTGCTTGGTGCTGTAGGGGTGAAGGTTATAAACTTTGTGAAGGAAGGGCTACTGTTGTGATAATCTTATGTGTCCTGTTGACCTTGTGGACACTGTTCAATGTAGAGCATATGAGAAACTTCAATTTGTATTCATTCAACCTTGGTTGTCCTAAGGAATTACACTCATTGCATTAAAAGACAGTTTAGATGGCAGCTATTGAAGGAATGCAGGTAGCTAAGAGACACTCCAGTCTGAGATTAAGAAATGCATGGGGAGTAAAGAATTGTTTGGGGCTTTTATCTTCCTAGAGTAGGAGATTATAATTTTTTAAACTTTATCACTGAGATCTTAAATATGAGAGGTGGCTCATATTGTTCAAATCTGGGCATTACTACTTTTATGTTGCAGATTCCTCAACTACAGTTCTAGTCTAGACTTCTTTCCCGAGCTTCAGAGTCATGTATCCAGTGCCTGTTTATATATCCTCTTGGATGTCCTGTAGTCATCTCCAACTAGCATCATCAGTACAATCTGCTTTTCCTCCTGTACACCACTATCTTCCAGCTGCCAAGAAACCTAGGCATGGCTCTAGGCTCCTCTTTCCCTCAATTTCTCTTGCATCTGTCTACTACTTCTTGGTAGAATTTGCATTTCATTAGTTAGAAATCCTCATGACTCTGGCCTTTGCCCTCCAATCACTGTTTATACTAAAGCTAAGTAATCTTTAAAAGAATGAAATTTGATTTTGTAAAAATTAATTTGATTAAAATCAATTAATCAAATTAATTTGATTTTGTTTAAAAATTTCCCAACGACCTCTGTACAAACCTAAGACTTCTTAGCACAGTTTAACAGGGCCCTTTATCAACTCAGTTCTTGACCTTCCCTCTTTGAATGTTTCCATGCTTTCTCTGTTTCAGGGCCTTCTTCATACTGTTCCTCAGTAATCCCTTTTTCTTTTCTACCTCTGTTTCTTTTTACTTGACTCATTTGTATGGGTTCTTCAGGACTCAGTTTGGTGACCTCAAAATTCAGGAAACCTCTTTCCTCTGACCATCCTTCCCAAGGCTGAATGGATCCACTCCGGGTTAATGATTATCATAGCACTTACCTCATGGTAATTATACTTGCCTTTTTTCCACTCTAACCTCCTTGGGGACAGAGACTTGTCTTGTTCATCTTAGCATATCAGCATTCTTATAAAGAGTTTTTTCAAGTGTACAAAATAGTATTTCCAAAACAAAGTAAGAAAACAATTCTAATATTAGAATGGGTTGCATCTTACAAGGCAGAGCAGGCCCAGGGAAAACTATAGGAACTGTAGCTATGGCTCTTGATATGTAGTCTTTAAATTAAAATAGAATTGGGAAATATATAAAAAAACTATTCATTAATTCAGCAAATGAATGTGTTCAAATAGGTATTTGGTATCATGCAGAAGTATCTTTAGTTATACACAATTACACGTTTGATTTATAATTAACAAAAACTCATAAACATAATAATTGTAACAATAGGTAATAATATTCATCAGTGCCAGGCATGCTAGGCACTTTGTTGGTTATTTCTTTTAATTTAAGTTAAATTTCTTCTATTGAATATAAGTAAAACCATCATAAATTATACAGGACAAAAACAAAAACAACACCAAAATTTTGGAGTGTTTCTGGTATATTAGCTAAAAACTTTGTGAAATCATCATAGATTTTGCTTTGCAACATTCAGGACATATTACTTCTATTCTTCATGTATTCCATGTCCCCAGGAGATAGCCATCTGAATAGTGGATTCCTGAAATGTATTTAGTGGTTGTTTTTAAAATGAGAAAACCAACAAAATGATTAACAACAACATTTTGCATTGTAGTCTTTTTACCTTTCAAAAGACACCTACATACAGTACCTTACATTTTATAGAAAAAAAAAAAAGTCATATTGAAAGAAAATAGAAACCATTTGTCTGTCTTAAAGTATACCTTAACACAAATTTGATTTTGATGAGGCCAAACTAAGATGATGTAGTTAAGTGACTAGCTTCAAGGGTTCATTAGTGCTCCCTCCTAGGGGTGGGGAAAATGGGGCTGCTGAAATCATAGGGGCTGGTAGTTACATGGGAGCGGTGAACCGGGAAAGCTGGGGTGCACCTCCTAAATACTCAAGGGCTGCCCTTGGGGCCATGGAAACCACATTTTACCCATGACACAGAGGGGGTCTCTTCTTTTTAATCTCTGATAAACTTACTTCAGAAGGGAAAATACACTATCTCCTTCATTGCCATCTTTCCAGGAGCCTCATTCTCACCACACCAAACCTACTGGCACTGCTCACAGGGGAAACGAGAGCACCTGTCATTGGTGACTGCACGGGCGGTTACACTGGCCTCTGTATCAGTGTGTAATTTTACAGGTTGTACTATGGATGACAAAGGAGCTACTCTGGGGGAAAGAGGTGTAATTCGGGTGAAACAATATTAATTGAAACATAACTATATGCAATAACTTTGTTAGTGTGTTGTTAAGCCCAGCGCCTATTAGTAACACTATAGAAAGGTTACTACTCTTTCCTTTTTCACCATATTATTTGGGTTGATTGACAGGCATTTAGATAAGTTGAATGAGTGTGTATAAAGATATAACAGGATTTTAAGATAAATCAAACAAGAAATTCTGGTACATAGAAAATTTAATTTGAAATAACTTAAAATATTTCATCAAGAAGTTTTAATTCTGTGCCTTGGCACCATACATTTAAGAAAATCTTTGGGCCTGATCTCAAATTAGTTCAGATAAACAGATATAATCAAAACTTTATACGTGTGTGTATATATTTGTACACATATATGTATACATGTATGTGTGCACATATACATATATATACACACACGTATACATATGTTCAAGTTATACATGTATATATATTCAAGAGATATATATTCAAGATGCATATGTAGATTCAAGATATATAGGTATGTAATTCTTCCCTCACTCAGAGATGAAATTCTCTAATTTTACTCATGGCACATACTTTAGAAAAATTACTCCCAAAAGTCACACTTTAATCACATATGGAACAAATCTCTACTCTTCCACTTTTAGCTACACTTCTTTAAGGTTAATTCAGATATAGAATGAAACTCACTTTTGTTGAATCCCAGAAGATTCTGAGCTGGAAGAAACCTAAGTATGCCCTTAAGCCTGTTTCCTGTCTTCAGGCAGACAGGTGAAATAAGCCACCAGGAGAGATGGTGGCTTTTTGTTCTTTACTTAAAAAGCTCTACTTCTCAACTACCAGGGTAGAAACATCTATTGAGTTTCTTAAAATAGTCTTTCTGTTAGCTACAGACACAGCAAAGTAGCCATGCACAATTAAATTTTTGGCTTGCTTCCAGTCTGACTTTTTTTCTAGAAATCTTCCTCCACAGTTAGTAGCAATAGCAAGTATGGCAGGAGAAATGTGGTTCCCTATGGGAGTGAGATTATTTCAAATGGTTACACGTTCTCAGCAAAATGTTTTGTAGAACTTTCTCGGAGTGCACACTCTCCTTTAGTGTAGACCCAAAGACTTGTGTTCTCACATGAGTACAAACTTACTTGGGGGTTTCCAAAAGTCCCCCATACTTTCATTTTTGTGTGGCCTTTTAAAATGTAATTTTAAAAAATCCATGATTTACTAAATGTACCAAGTTGCTATTTAAAAATGGACGTATATGTCAATTTAGATTGTAAATTTGGGATTACAATGAAGCGTCAAGACCATAAAGAACACAAACATTTTATTTTTATAGGAGACCTGCACAGAAGGAACATATTTCTGTTGTGTGTGTATTTTTGTTTCCTTAGCTTGTCTCTCTTGTGTGCACAAAACTAGGAGAGGATGTTTTTCTTTATTTTGGTTTGGCTAAGATGCTCATGATATAGTATATTTTAAGTGGCAAAAACTGTAGTTCTTAATCTATAAAGAAGAATTCTCTAGGTGAATAAATAAGAAAAATACCAAAAAATTAGGAAAATATGTAAACTCAAGTTATGAGGTATTTCAAAGATACAGTGCCAGTAAAAATTCTCTTTCCCACAATTCGCAACTGCCAGATCTCTTGCTTTAGTCTTTCTATGCTTACATCTGAAGAAATACAGAAAAGTTGGAGATAAAAGCCCTTTTGTGTATGTGGGGGTTACAGTAGTTCAGGGAAGAGTCAGAAAAGGAAAGTCATAAAGCAATATTTAAATGTCTTTATATAAGAACAAAAATATTTCCTTAAAAAGTTGTTAAAAGATTTTCTTTCTAGTCCTAAAAACACTCAGTTTTATAGGGCATGTGATTGTCTGTGTGACACCTCTTTCCAGAGCAACGTTTTCTTTGTTTTGTTTTGTTTTTTAAATACTAGGAAAGTATGACTTAGTCAAATTAGATTTTCCAAGCTATATTTAGTTTTATAGATGTGTTTAGTCCTGAATTCTGGGGAGAGTATGTATATAAGAAAAATCCCAGGAAACCCTTACACCTAACCCAAACACAGTTACTTTTAACACTGCACCATGATCTCTCAATTCCTGTAGCTTATTGCTTCCACAAACTAGAAATCCCTGAATTCTCTGTATCTAACTTCCTATGTCTAGAGTCTGAGAAACTGACCCACTATCATATTTTTTTCCTAAATAACCCAGTTTTTAAAGTTTATCAAAGCTTTTTGATCTTTTTCTGAGAGTTAAATATGTGTTTCTCTCACATAACAAGAATCAGGAATTCCCAGCAAACAGATTTCATTATGCATATACCAGAAACATGCAGATCACACATGAATATGCTTCAGTCAACACACATAGGCATTCACTCAAGGGGTAAACCAGTAATGAGCCAAACATACATACATGTGCAAATGTACAATTAACAGCAAATTATTTTAGATCCTAATGTCCTTTGAATATTAAAAATGAGCCAGGAGACAGCTCCTGTGACATTTGTATGCTCTAGATTACAACTTTACATGTAGAAGTAGCTTCATATGACATCTCGTGAATTTCGTATCGCACAGCAAAGGACCATGCTGAATATCATGCCAAAGATCTGAAACAGAAGGAACCACTTATTAATGACTTTCAAATGATGAAAATTGATTTTAAAAAAAGGCCAGCAAACTGCTTGCATGTTTAACTCATGTTGACAAATAATTATAAGCAATAATTACTGAATATAAGTGGCACTTTGATATGTGCTACTTAATTATGGCTACTGGTTAAAGACTTCCGTTAACTGCTTAAAATACATTCCTATTTTATTATTGTTAAAAATAGCAAGACTCTGGTTTAAGAAAATGACTCTATTTCTAGCTTATAGGGCAGTTCTTAATAATTATAAAAGACTAATACACTACTGGTTTTAGAATTTTATATTTCAGGTTAATCCCAGATCTAATTTATATATATATATTTTTGAAATTCTGAATTTTATTTTTTTTATACAGCAGGTTCTTATTAGTCGTCCATTTTATACACATCAGTGTATACATGTCAAACCCAATCTCCCAATTCATCACACCACCACCCCACCACCCTGCCACTTTCCCCCCTTGGTGTGCATACATTTGTTCTCTACATCTGTGTCTCAATTTCTGCCCTGCAAACCGGTTCATCTGTACCATTTTTCTAGGTTCCACATATATGCGTTAGTATACGGTATTTGTTTTTCTCTTTCTGACTCACTTCACTCTGTATGACAGTCTCTAGATCTATCCATGTCTCTACAAATGACCCAATTTCATTCCTTTTTATGGCTGAGTAATATTCTATTGTATATATGTACCACATCTTTATCCATTCGTCTGTCGATGGGCATTTAGGTTGCTTCCATGTTCTGGCTATTGTAAATAGTGCTGCAATGAACATTGGGGTGCACATGTCTTTTTGAATTAAGTTTTCTCTGGGTATATGCCCAGTAGTGGGATCACTGGGTCATATGCTAATTTTATTTTTAGTTTTTTAAGGAAACTCCATACTGTTCTCCATAGTGGCTGCATCAATTTACATTCCCACCAACAGTGCAAGAGGGTTCCTTTTTCTCCACACCCTCTCCAGCATTTGTTGTTTGTAGATTTTCTGATGATGCCCATTCTAACTGGTGTGAGGTGATACCTCATTGTAGTTTTGATTTGCATTTCTCTAATAATTAGTGATGTTGAGTAGATTTTCATGTGCTTCTTGGCCATCTGTATGTCTTCTTTGGAGAAATGTCTATTTAGGTCTTATGCCCATTTTTGGATTGGGTTGTTTGTTTTTTCAATATTGAGCTGCATGAGCTGTTTATATATTTTGGAGATTAATCCTTTGTCCATTGATTCGTTTGCAAATATTTTCTCCCATTCTGAGGGTTGTCTTTTAATCTTGTTTGTAGTTTCCTTTGCTGTGCAAAAGCTTTTAAGTTTCATTAGGTCCCATTTATTTATTTTTGTTTTTATTTCCATTACTCTCAGAGGTGGATCAAAAAAGATCTTGCTGTGATTTATGTCAGTGTTCTTCCTATGTTGTCCTCTAAGAGTTTGATAGTGTCTAGTCTTACATTTAGGTCTCTAATCCATTTTGATTTTATTTTTGTGTATGGTGTTAGGGAGTGTTCTAATTTCATTCTTTTACATGTAGCTGTCCAGTTTCCCCAGCATCACTTATTGACGAGACTGTCTTTTCTCCATTGTATCTCCTTGCCTTCTTTGTCATAGATTAGTTGTCCATAGGTGCGTGGGTTTATCTCTGGGCTTTCTATCCTGTTCCATTGATCTATATTTCTGTTTGATAGAGATTGAACTGAATCTGTAGATTGCTTTGGGTAGTATAGTCATTTTCACAATATTGATTTTTCCAATCAAAGAACATGGTATATCTCTCCATCTGTTGGTATCATCTTTAATTTCTTTCATCAGTGTCTTATAGTCTTCTGCATACAGGACTTTTGTCTCCCTAGGTAGGTTTATTCCTAGGTATTTTATTCTTTTTGTTGCAATGGTAAATGGGAGTGTTTCCTTAATTTCTTTCTGATTTTTCATCATTAGTGTATAGAAATGCAAGAGATATCTGTGCATTAATTTTGTATCCTGTAACTTTACCAAATTCACTGATGAGCTCTAGTAATTTTCTGGTGGCACCTTCAAGATTCTCTGTGTATAGTATCGTGTCATCTGCAAACAGTGACAGTTTTACTTCTTCTTTTCCAATTTGAATTCCTTTTATTTCTTTTTCTTCTCTGATTGCCATGGCTAGGACTTCCAAAACTATGTTGAATAATAGTGGTGAGAGTGGACATCCTTGTTTTTTTCCTGATCTTAGAGGACATGCTTTCAGTTTTTAACCATTGAGAATGATGTTTGCTATAGGTTTGTTGTATATGGCCTTTATTATGTTGAGGTACGTCCCTCTATGCCCACTTTCTGGAGAGTTTTTATCATTAATCGGTGTTGAATTTTGTCAAAAGCTTTTTCTGCATCTATTGAGATGATCATATTGTTTTTATTCTACAATTTGTTAATAGATGGTGTATCACATTGATTGATTTGCATATATTGAAGAATCCTTGCATCCCTGGGATAAATCCCACTTGATCATGATGTATGATCCTTTTAATGTGTTGTTGGATTCTGTTTGTTAGTATTTTATTGAGGATTTTTGCATCTATATTCATCAGTGCTATGGGTCTGGAATTTTCTTTTTTTGTAGTATCTTTGTCTGGTTTTGGTATCAAGGTGATGGTGGCCTCATAGAATGAGTTTGGGAGTGTTCCTTCCTCTGCAATTTTTTGGAAGGATTTGAGAAGCATGGGTATTAGCTCTTCTCAAAATATTTGATAGAATTCACCTGTGAAGCCATCTTGTCCTGGACTTTTGTTTGTTGGAAGATTTTTAATCACAGTTTCAATTTCATTACTTGTGATTGGTCTGTTCATATTTTCTATTTCTTCCTGGTTCAGTCTTGGAAGGTTACACCTTTCTAAGAATTTGTCCATTTCTTCCAGGTTGTCCATTTTATTGGCATAGAGTTGCTTGTAGTAGTCTCTTAGGATGCTTTGTACTTTGGCGGTGTCTGTTGTAACTTCTCCTTTTTCATTTCTAATTTTATTGATTTGAGCCTCTCCCTCCTTTTCTTGATGAGTCTGGCTAATGGTTTATCAATTTTGTTTATCTTCTCAAAGAACCAACTTTTAGTTTTACTGATCTTTGTTATTTTTTTCTTCATTTCTTTTTCATTTATTTCTGCTCTGATCTTTATGATTTCTTTCCTTCTACTAACTTTGGGTTTTGTTTGTTCTTCTTTCTCTAGTTCCTTTAGGTGTAAGGTTAGATTGTTTATTTGAGATTTTTCTTGTGTCTTGAGGTAGGCTTGTAATGCTATAAACTTCCCTCTTAGAACTGCTTTTGCTGCATCCCATAGGTTTTGAATGGTCGTATTTTCCTTGTCATTTGTCTCTACGTATTTTTTTATTTCCTCGTTGATTTCTTCAGTCATCTCTTGGTTATTTAGTAATGTAATGTTTAGCCTCCATGTGTTTGTGTTTTTTACATTTTTTTCCCTGTAATTGATTTCTAATCTCATAGTGTTGTGGTCAGAAAATATGCTTGACATGATTTCAATTTTCTTAAATTTACCAAGGCTTGATTTGTGACCCAAGATGTGATCAGTCCTGGAGAATGTTCCATGTGCTGCTGTTTTTGGATGGAATGTCCTATAAATATCAATTTAATCTATCTGGTCTATTGTGTCATTTAAAGCTTCTGTTTCCTTATTAATTTTCTGTCTGGATGATCTGTCCACTGGTGTAAGTGAGGTGTTAAAGTCCCCCACTATTATCATGTTACTGTTGATTTCCTCCTTTATAGCTGTCAGCAGTTGCCTTATGTATTGAGGTGCTCCTATGTTGGGTGCATATATATTTATAACTGCTATATCTTCTTCTCGGATTGATCCCTTGATCATTATGTAGTGTCCTTCTTTGTCTCTTGTAACATTCTTTATTTTAAAGTCTATTTCACCTGATATGAGTATTGTTACTCCAGCGTTCTTTTGGTTTCCATTTGCATGGAATATCTTTTTCCATCTCCTCACTTTCAGTCTGTATGTATCCCTAGGTCTGAAGTGGGTCTCTTGTAGACAGCATATATATGGGTCTTGTTTTTGTATCCATTCAGTGAGCCTGTGTCTTTTGGTTGGAGCATTTAATCCATTCACATTTAAGGTAATTATCTATATGTATGTTCCTATTACCATTTTCTTAATTGTTATGGGTTTGTTTTTTTAGGTCCTTTTCTTCTCTTGTGTTTCCCACTTAGAGAAGTTCCTTTAGCATTTGTTGTAGAGCTGGTTTGGTGGTGCTGAATTCTCTTAGCTTTTGCTTGTCTGTAAAGCTTTTGATTTCTCCGTCGAATCTGAATGAGATTCTTGCCAGGTAGAGTGATCTTGGTTGTAGGTTCTTCCTCTTCATTACTTTAAATATGTCATGCCACTCCCTTCTGGCTTGTAGAGTTTCTGCTAAGAAATCAGCTGTTAACCTTATGGGAGTTCCCTTGTATGTTATTTGTCATTTTTCCCTTGTTGCTTTCAATACTTTTTCTTTGTCTTTAATTTTTGTCAATTTGATTACTATGTGTCTTGACATGTTTCTCCTCGGGTTTATCCTGCCTGGGACTCTCTGCACTTCCTGGACTTGGGTGGCTATTTCCTTTCCCATGTTAGGGAATTTTTCGACTATAATCTCTTCAAATATTTTCTCGGGTCCTTTCTCTCTCTCTTCTCCTCCTGGGACCCCTATAATGCGAATGTTGTTGCGTTTAATGTTGTCCCAGAGGTCTCTTAGGCTGTCTTCATTTCTTTTCATTCTTTTTTCTTTATTCTGTTCTGCAGCAGTGAGTTCCACCATTCCGTCTTCCAGGTCACTTATCTGTTCTTCTGCCTCAGTTATTCTGCTATTGATTCCTTCAAGTGCAGTTTTCATTTCAGTTATTGTATTGTTCATCTGTTTGTTTGTTCTTTAATCCTTCTAGGTGTTTGTTCTTTAATTCTTCTAGGTCTTTGTTAAACATTTCTTGCATCTTCTCAATCTTTGCCTCCATTCTTTTTCTGAGGTCCTGCATCATCTTCACTATCATTATTCTGAATTCTTTTTCTGGAAGGTTGCCTATCTCCACTTCATTTAGTTGTTTTTCTGGGGTTTTATCTTGTTCCTTCATCTGGTACATAGCCCTCTGCCTTTTCATCTTGTGTATCTTTTGTGAATGTGGTTTTTGTTCCACAGGCTGCAGGATTGTAGTTCTGTTTGCTTCTGCTCTCTGCCCTCTGGTGGATGAGGCTATCTAAGAAGCTTGTGCAAGTTTCCTGATTGGAGGGACTGGTGGTAGGTAGAGCTTGGTGTTGCTCTGGTGGGCAGAGCTCAGTAAAACTTTAATCTGCTTGTCTGCTGATAGGTGGGGCTGGGTTCCCTCCCTGTTGGTTGGTTGGCCTGAGGCGACCCAATACTGGAGCCTACCTGGCTCTTTGGTGGGGCTAATGGCAGACTCTGGGAGGCCTCATGCCAAGGAGTACTTCCCAGAACTTCTGCTGCCTGTGTCCTTGTCCTCACAGTGAGCCTCAGCCACCCCCTGCCTCTGCAGGAGACCCTCCAACACTAGCAGGTAGGTCTGGTTCAGTTTCCTATGGGGTCACTGCTCCTTCCCCTGGGTCCTGATGTGCACACTACTTTGTGTGTGCCCTCCAAGAGTGGAGTCTCTGTTTACTCCAGTCCTATCGAAGTCCTGCAATGAAATCCTGCTAGGATTCAAAGTCTGATTCTCTAGGAATTCCTTCTCCCATTGCCAGACCACCAGGTTGGGAAGCCTGACGTGGGGCTCAGAACCTTCACTCCAGTGGGTGGACTTCTGTGGTATAAGTATTCTCCAGTTTGTGAGTCACCCACCCAGCAGTTATGGGATTTGATTTTACTGTGATTGCGCCCCTCCTACCGTCTCACTGTGGCTTCTCCTTTGTCTTTGGATGTGGGGTATCTTTTTTGGTGAGTTCCAGTGTCTTCCTGTTGATGACTGTTCAGCCGTTAGTTGTGATTCCAGTTTTCTTGCAAGAGGGAGTGAGTGCACGTCCTTCTACTCCACCATCTTGAACCAATCTCTCTCATTTATATTTTTATTTTGGAAAATGTGTTTGTAACCACTTGTTGTTTAAATACACTTGCAGTCTAAATAGTTTTCTATTGCTGGCAAAGCTTTGAATTTTTGCAACAGTGACCACATATTAAAAAGTGGAGCATCTCTTCATTCCCAGTTCATTTTTAAGTGTACATGATGCTTTATTATTTAACTCAATAGTTTTACCAAAGCATAAATTGTGGTGTTTGTACTATGGTACTACTGACATCTTCTACCACTTGGATGCTTCTTTGAAAAGACAAATATTTAGCAAAATTAATAGTTACTTAAATGGTTTGAATAGAAGGACGTCAAAAAAATCCTTCTTTTCCTCAATCACTTCTCCTATTAATTTTGCAGAACCTATGATATGCTATCTGTAGGTGCGTTGTTCATAGACTACTCTCAATGTTTGTTCAAAGAAATCAGTACCATATCTCTCTGATTCTCTCCTCAATCCCATCCTACATTAGACTAGGATCTGTAAATGCTGAATTTAAAAAGGCATGTGTTATCAGTTATTGGAGGGGAAGGGGCAGACTTAAGGGAATAGCTGGGATCAGGGCTCCAAGCTTCTGGCTGACAGAACTCAGTACCAGTGTGTGGCAGGGGAGACACCTAATGGACATTTTGTTAACTGATTACATTGTGAAACTCTTACCTTATGAAGAAAAGAATTAAAGAAGAAACTCTGGGCGTTTCTTCTGAGGCCAGATGGCCAACACAGGGCCTTCCCCTTTTCCGTGGTTGTAAGGTTGGATGCAACCCCTGCTTAGACCTCGTTGTACCTAAAGGGATCCCCTCAGAAAGAAACTCATCCTGCCACTGTCATGAGTCAGGGGTGACCACTTCTAGAATGCTCATTCCTTGAGACTGTAGAATTGTTGGGAGAGTCTATTTGATACCTCCGTTAATGCAGAACATTTTCAAACCATCTGCCTCAGAATTGTCCTTGGGAAGCCGCAGAATGGCCATCAGGCTAGCCCCAGGGCGGGTGGGGAGGCCCTGAGAGAAGACCCTGGATTGGGAGGTCCTCAGCATAGTATTTTCACCCACTGCCCCAGCCCTCTGTGCTCTAAATACAGAAAGGAGGGAAGATGATTGTGTGTCCCCTGAGACCTGCCAATTCATTGATTTCCTCACAATTCCATTGCCCCTGCCTCAGCTTAGGCCATGAATTAATCTACATAGGAGGGCTAGAGGGTAAGTATTATCTTAGCATTAGCTATTATCACTCAGCCCTTGGACAATGGAAATCACCTCTTTATGGGCTTACCTGACTCCAATCTTACTTCCCTCCAACTTTACCTCCACACTGCACTACAGGTCCTTCCAAACCTGGGTGGCTCCCCTCTACCTTAAGGATAAAGCCCAACCTATCAAAAAGTCACACAAAGAACACAATTATGTGGACCCTCATAACCCTCTCCAGTGTCATCTCTTGCTACACTTACCATAGCCTTCTGCCCCTATGAACTCTTGCACACTCTTCTTTTGTACTTTAGAAGTACTGAGCTACCTACAGGTGCAAGGATGCACTATGCTTCACACTTCCATATATAGTTTGCCTGGATTCAGGGTTTGGGAACACTCAGATTCTATGTAGAGCTAGCATTTATTGAGTGCTATGTTCCAGACCCTTTATATGAATTAATTCCTAATAATACTTTATATGTATTATTCCACTTAATTGTCACAACAATTTTCTGAGGTTGATATATTAAAATCCCCATTTTGCAGATGAGGGCATTGAGACATAGAGAAATTAAGAAACTTTCCAGTGACCCCAGGGTTTGTAAGTAGTGGAGCTAGCAGTTGTATCCAGACAGTGTGATGCCAGAGTTTGCGCTGTTAATCACTACACTGTGCTACCTCTGCAAATCATAGGTGAGAGAGTTTAATCTATGTTGTCTTAAATATCTAACGAAGGAAGAGACCCAGAATTAAAAATCACTCATCTAGTTTAAGCTTGGTGACCTTAAAATGGGAAGTTATTACAATGATAAACTCAAAGTCATAATTAGCTTAACATTGAAATTTGTATCATATTTGAGAGAACTAAGTATTGATGTATCTAATTAGCTTTGTTCTTAGATATTCTGTCAAAAACATCTTTGTCTTTTATGAAAAATCTCTCCTAAGATACTGCCATATCACACTTGAAGAGAAACAAGATACAAAGGTTCAAGGCTTCTTAGGTGTCAAAGAAGGTATGTTGTGGAACTTTCTTACCGTGAGGGCTGCGATTCCAATACCGACAATTCCGATGAGCTGGAGCTTAACGCTGATGATGCGCTCAATTTCATCAATGCAATTCTGTGTTGGAAAAGAAGAAGTCAGGAATAACAGCTGGTGGTATGTGTGAATCATCACCCTGATCCAATCCTTTCCTTCTCTACAGAGCATCCTGTGAGAGTTAACCCATGTCAGCTTCTGTTCCTATTTAAACCATTCCTCCCAGATATCACTCTGATAAATTTAAAGCAAAAGTGTTTTTGGGGGAAAAATGACAATACTCTCCTTTTGGTGGAATTTTCCTATTTAGGCCAATGGCTGCTTCAAAGCCCTGAAACCTGGCTGGATGAAGCTATTCTGGGACCTGAGGCATTAAAACTTTGGGGCCTCTTCTTACTTTCAGCAAATAAAAAAAAGTAAAATATCCCCAAAATAACAGCCCCTTGCTTTTGGATTGTCATTTATAGTTTAAAAGACTTTCTACATACCTAGTCCAATTTACTATACAAGGTAGGCATCACCTAGTAAGAAGCTATAAAGTCTGTATAGATTCAAATTTAACAAAGGAAAGCCAAGTGTTGGGGGTTGGAGGACTGTTCTCTTCTATGGCGGCCAGGCTGGGTGGCCCTATTCTTTCATCTGTGTCCCATAGAGACCTGTGCAGTGTAGGTCCAAAGAACCTTCACAGATGGAGGAATATTGGACAGGGGGCAGAACAGATCACTTGTAATTGCAATTAGTTTCTCCAAATTCTATTTGGTCCTCTTAAATACAGAGGTATTCTCTCAACCCAATTTTGTCCTTAGGCTGCCCAGGTCCTTTTACTTGTCAATGGTCAGCTCTCTCTGATACCCACCTAAGCTATATGAAACTCTTACTGCTATCCTCACATCTCCTGTCATACTTCATTCATTCATCATTCATTCATTCAACAAATATTTCTTGAGCATCTGCCTTGCATTAGTCACCAGAATGGCGTGGTGGATATGGAGAGAATAAGACATGGTTACTTTTGCCCTCAGGGAGCTCACAGTTTAGAGAAGGACACAGACTCACAAAAATAATTACAATACATTCTGGTAAAAGTTGAGAACCACTGCTCTAGATAGTGGCTCCCTTACTTATTGGAGTCAAGCTGTAGAAATTCTTCCAACCTTCCTCACCTGCACCTATAAACTTACACACTCCATTCATCCGGTGGCAGGTGCTGCTGTAGGCAGTGAGCATGCAGATGAGAAAGGCACACTGCTTCTTACTTCCTTCTCATTAAAGTCAAAGAAGTGCCCTGCTCTGCTGAAAGTCAACCCCTTTACTGGCTCTGGATCTTATTCTCTCATCTCCTCAGGAAGCCTGTGCTGTCACTTATCTCCTTTCCTTCCTACACACTCAGCCTCTCCTTCTCTGTAGCCAAGCAGGCATCTGAAGTCTTAGCTTCCTCCCTTTCACTCCCCACTCACACCCAGTCAGTCACCTGTGCCTGTTGACTCTACCCCTGGACGTCTCTGTATCTGTCGCCTCCTCTCCCTCCCCACGGAACGTGACTTGCTCTAGTTCCTCATCCTCTCTCACCAGGAAAAACATAAGTGCCACCTAAGCGGCCTCCCTCCATTGGTCTCCAGCCTTCTGTTCTACCAGTCATACCCAGCAGCCTGAGTGCTCTTTCAACAATGCAAAACGGATTATGTTAATCCTCTGCTAAAAGCAACCGCTTCTCCAAACTTCCAGGTATAAAACCATGCCATTGCCTGCCTTTTCAAAAATGTCCCTCACCATTCCCTCTGGACTCCCGATTCTCCTCCAGTCCTGGAATTTCATGCTTCTGTTCTTGCCGCTTTCTGGGCCTGGAATGACCTTCCTTTGTCAAAACTTGGCTCAAGGATCCATCCTCTGCAAGCTTTCCTGACTCCACTGTATTCTGTACAGATACTGTGCTCTGTCAAGCATCAGCTCCCTTGACTAGTCTGTGAGGCCACTGAGGCCGGGACCATGTGTTTTTCACCTTAGAGTTTCCAGAACCTGGCATCGTGCCTGCCACGCAGCACTTAATAAAGGAAGCATTTATCAGTGCGATGACACCCCTGGAAGGGTACGGGGCAACGTCCTTAGGGTGCATACCTCTGGCCCTGGTGAGCTTAATTAATGCCACTGCATTTGCATCATTACTGGCAAGTCAGCACACCATTATTCCCCAGGGTACCAGGAGCCTGGGACTCATCATTGCTTCACTTATTCTGCATAGAATAAAGCTGAGGCTAGAAGCCACTGGCAGAGGGCCTCCCAGAATCACCCCTCCACCCCAAGGGCAAGAACCATCTTAACACCACAGGCAGGATAGGAACCTGGTAGAGAAGCTTACCTTGTGTTCTAGGAGCTCCTTTGGGCAGGTCGGTTGGACCTGTTCAGAGCTTTCTTTTCCACAGCACTGAAACTAGAGAGTCCGAAAAGAGCTTTTAGCACAAGGAGGGAGAAGCTGAAGCTACAAGTCCGGGTATCACTGCTAAGGACTGGGCGTGCTGAGGCCGCAAAACAGCTCTGAGGCCTGACACTACAACCTAGTGGCCGTTCTGGAGACAGGATGAAGAGTCACACAGTCGTGCTAGCAAAGCAAGAAAGGACTTCACCAAATCTGTCCAAGTTTTATGACAGGAGGTGATTGAAGGCAATGCAAACAAGGCAAGAAGCTAGCTGACAGTGCCTGTGTAAACCATTGTTTTTAGACAGGAGTTAGGTCTTTAGATTCTTCCTTTCAGCCTTGCTGATAGCTAAAGTTTTATGAGCTTCAGGAAAGGCTCATTAACTGAGGAGAGCCTGGGACGGACAGGAGAAGTGGCCACAGTAAACCCCAGGGGCTAAAGACTGGGGCTTGAATACTGGCCAGCCAACAGGTGTCCTGCCTTACGGCTGCCCTTCAAAGACAAAGGAACCTGTGTGCTGTCTGATGTCCCTGGGGCAGCTGCAGCTGAACAGGATAAATGGTTGGCACCTTCCAGGACAGACCTGTGACAGACAAGAACTGAGCTACCTTAAAACACCTGGCCAGGAGTTCATAGCTACTTCTCCATATGACAGGGGTTGAGAAATCAGGATGACACTGGCCTGGCCCATCTCCCCCGGGGAGCCTTCCTTGATGAACTGCCTGTAGCTGAGAACACTGCACTGACAGCATGTTCTCACAGGATGTCCCGGGAGAAAAGCAGCGTGCCTGTCTCATGTGCCCCTTCATTTTACAACTGAGGGCGCTGAGTGAGGATCAGGAAGGCAAGGAACTCGCTTCAGGTCACAAAGCTGTTCATTGGCACAGCTGCAGCTAGAGATAAGCTTTTCTGTCTTGAAGGTCACAGCTGTTTCTGTTACATCACAAGGCCACTCTTGTTTTTGTTTTTTGTTGTTGTTGTTTTTGTTTCTTGCAGTACGCGGGCCTCTCACTGTTGTGGCCTCTCCCATTGTGGAGCACAGGCTCTGGACGCGCAGGCTCAGCGGCCATGGCTCATAGGCCCAGCCGCTCCGCGGCATGTGGGAGCTTCCCAGACCGGGGCACGAACCCGTGTCCCCTGCATCGGCAGGCGGACTCTCAACCACTGCGCCACCAGGGAAGCCCCACAAGGCCACTCTTGAGAGAACCTGATATTTACTTGGGCGGCTTTCTCGATGTTCTTATTTGTGTGTGCGCTTCTGTCCCTTTGGGTGCATGTCCTGACTTCCTTCTGTCGACTCTGTGTTAGGCCTCTTTCTCTTCTAGGTTCTACACATAATGCAAACCGTGGCTCCCACGAAGGCAGACATATAGTGCAGTTGCCTGGCTTCACTCAATTTATTTTTAATCTAGGTGATTAGAAAGAACCTGGCTCATGTATAATCTTTAGAAAATTCCATTTTAAGGAAGAAGTAAAGTCACTTACTGTTGAGTGGAAGGTAATGAGAGTCCCATTTCCCTTTTCCCTGTCTCTAAGGTAATCGTTATAAGCTTCTTCATACATGGTCTGAACATGTCGTATAGCCTGAAAAATTACCAGGAAAACAAGAGGACGTGAGTGAGAAGTTTCAAACGTTCCCCTTTCATCAAGAATAAAGCCCCTCTTCCCTACCCTTCAAAAATATGGCGTTTCCATATGTTTACCTGGATTTAAGGGTAATTCTGCCTATATGGAACAGATTATAGATTCTGGAGTTTCTAATATGCTTCTGAAGATGGAAGGATAGATTAACCAAGAATAATTTTCATAGACTAGAAAGATTTCTTAGAGTGGAGGTTCTCAACCTTGAATGGACATCGGCAACAGCTGAACCCCAGATTCCTGGGCCCCAGCCAGGTGATTCTGGTGCACAGCCAGGGTAGAAACCTATGCATTCTTGGGACTCCATTGGTTACAAGTATTCAAGTCTTTTCACGACATGGTTTAAAAGGTGTTCATGACCAAGGAAAACTGTTCCAGCATTCAAATATAGAAAACGTAGAGAATGCTTTTTCTAGTATAATTGCATGTGATCCCCAAATCCATAGGCTCTCAAGAAGTCGTAAGATCCAATTCCTCTAACCTACAAATATAACCAGCTACTTTAGACAAATTCCAGAGGAGGTGACATTACTTATTCTACATGTTTACCGTTTTTAAAATCTAAAATAAGTTCATAAACACAATATTGATAGCACATGAATTTATGTAAAATACAGTAAACTTAAGATTCCATCCTTCCTCCTTTTCCATTTCACTCCTCTCTTCCCCACTGCATGTTTACACTTAAAAAGACCCCTTCCTCTGTGGATTCTCCTGACAACCTATTCTGCTCGCCTATAGTTTGAGCAAAAATCTTAAACTGGCTTCACTGGCACGCAGGAGGCTGCTGTCTTTGAGGATGACCTGGCCTCTGCCCAGGCCAAACCCTAAGGACAAAGGACAGGCTAACATGGGATGAGAATGCGTGTTCTTCCCCATCCTTCTTTCTCATGTCTGCAATCTAACTCCTCCCACATTCCAAACAGGATCATCTTAAATTAGAGATCCTTCTGTTACAAAAAACATAGGCCCCTCTATATATCTAATGAAAGCTAGGAACTATCTCCCCAGAAATACGTGTGCACCTATATGCACGCACACACATACACACATATGCTAAAGTCCACACCACACTCCTAGGTTAAAAAGTTCTGCATAAACGATTATTGTGGGGGTTATTTGGCTTTGGAATATCACTGTGGGTACCAATATTCTCATGACCTTTGCCGTAAAGAGAACACTTTAACCATCGTTAAAAAACAATTATAAGTCATATTTACTTACTACATCCTTGCCTATAAAAGCAAATACTCCAGTGGTTATTTCAGCAGCAAATATCACCAATAGGCAGGTAAAAAACTGTAGAGGAGAGAAAATACTAACTTCATTAATTCAATACCTTTTCAGTTTACTTAACCTCTTTGACTCTAGTTCCTTTTGAAAAGCACTAGGCAAGGTTATTAGTTTGAAGAGATCTAGCGGGAAGCATTTGGCCCCTTAGTTCATCCGCAGTTTGCTCACACATTCATTCACTCATTAATTCATTCAGCAATTGTTTATTGAGCATTTGCTTTGTGCCAGGTACTGTCCTTGATACTGGGCATACAGTGGTGAATAAGATAAGATCTCAGTGCCTCTGCTCTCGGGGACCTTATAGTAGAGAAAGGAGGATATGATAAATGAGTAAGCAATAAGAGAGTAAGTTAATTTCAGAGAGTGATATAGAAATCCCACAACCTAGAACAGCACCCGGCACCCATATGTTCAGTGACTACTTGATGAACAAAAGAGATTCTATAAAGATATAAAATAAGACCAGAAGATAGAGAGTGGCTGGTGGGACTGGGTTTGGGGAGGGGGTGACTTGAGACTGCGTGGTCTGGATGGCTTCCCAGAGGAGGTGGAAGTGGAGGTGAAGGGTGTCCTTCTGGACAGATTTCTGTTCCAATCTCGGGGTCTGCTCTGATTAAACTAAGTTCAGTGATAAACAAGACCTGAGATGCTCAGCAACAGGGGAAAGAGAAAGAATAGAGAACTGAGGGAATGAGTTAGAAATCTTACATGGCAAGAGATCAGGAGAAGGGCTTCCCTGGTGGCGCAGTGGTTGAGAATCTGCCTGCCAACGCAGGGGTCACGGGTTCGAGCCCTGGTCTGGGAAGATCCCACATGCCGCTGAGCAACTGGGCCCGTGCACCACAACTACTGAGCCTGCGCATCTGGAGCCTGTGCTCCGCAACAAGAGAGGCCGCGATAGTGAGAGGTCCGCGCACCGTGATGAAGAGTGGTCCCCGCTCGCCGCAACTAGAGAAAGCCCGTGCGCAGAAACAAAGACCCAACACACCCCCAAGTCAATCAATCAATCAATAAATTTATTTAAAAAAAAGAGAGAGATCAGGAGAAGCAGCCACAGTTCAAACACCAAAGGTTGCAATGAGTAAGGAGAGGCCGCCTAATAAAACTGCCATTTCTCCTCATGGAGAAACACAAAAACTTTCTTCCTGCTCCCCTTCTTTCTTAGGTCACACTGGCACTGGATGTATAGCAGTTAACGGAAATTATTTCATTTTTTTTTTTAAAACCAGAGGCTACTAAACTAAATAGCCTTAAAATAAACCACAAGAGGTATGTTTGTTTAAATTACCGATCTCAAACAGCAGTACTTTTCTTATCGATAACAGTGCTTCCCTGACTATGGGAATCTTGTAGCTGCCTCACTCACTGTGAAATATTATGAGGCACTTTTTCTCCCAAAACGTCTTCACACTAATGACCTATTTTTTGTTTTTTTTTTCACATTTTCCACAGAGGTAGGGACAAAGAGAACGTCCAGCTCCCTTCAGGCCAAGCCCCTCCCCACCTCGCCCCACTTACAGATCCGAGAACGCACTGGGACTCCCGCGTGGCTCCACAGCAGCCGAGGAAGCCCACGGCCATCATCAGGGCCCCCGCTCCAGCCAGCACGTAGAGCCCTGGGGGAAGAGGCCAGAGAAGAGGCTGACGACTCCAGATCGGCCCTCTCCCCGGCACCAGTGCTGCCAGCCCAGCCTCTGCCACCACTGCCCCAGGCATCTGGCCCCGCAGGGCCTTCAGTTGTTCATATGATAAAGGGAACCCTTGTGGAAGGCTTCCTGCTGAGAGCTTCATGAGGGGTAGGGGCTGCTGTAATCCCCAGGGAACAAAGAAAGCCCATGCTTACAGAGGTGAAGGGAGCCGCCCAGGCTCACACAACCAGCGAGGCTCGGAAATCGCCTTTGTCCCACAGCTTACGCTTAGTCATCCGCGAGCGCCTCCTACGTGCCACGCACTTCACCTGTCAGATCTCCGCCACCCCTGTAAAGTGGGCGTTAATACCATGCACAGAGATTGGCGACAGTGGGTCCAGGGGCGGTGAGGAGCCAGTGCCAGAGCTGGGACGTGAACCCCTACCGTCCTAGGAGCCCGTGGCCCTCGTGGCACTCTGGAATTAGTGGCTGTCCCCATCTCATGAGAGGCCCTGAGGACAAAGTGTCTGGGACGGGAGGGGGGCCGTTGATCTGCCCAGGCTCAGATGGAGAAGCAGGGAGTGGGTGGAACGGAAGAAGGGAGCTTTTAGTCAAGGAGAGGGGCGGAGGGCACAGCGATGAGACAATATGGTTTTGTGTGAATGATAAACTCTAGAAGGCAGTAAGTACCATATACACTGGAGGCACGCAAGGTGGTAAGTGTTACAAGAAAATAGCCAGTGAAGGGAGGTGATAAGGTAACATGCACCAAATAATGTTATTATTAATGTAATATTAGCTACATTTATTTTAAGGGTTTATTTTCTCCAGGCACTATTCTAAGCGCCTACCACAGATTTATTAATTTAATCTTCATGAAGCAGGTACCATTATTATCTCCATTTTTTTAGACAGAGGAACTGGGCCCCCAAAGGTTAAGTGACTTGCCCAAGATCATAGAGCTGGGATAAAAACACCCATCTGCCCCTAAAGCTAGCTTTATCCCATCCTGCCTCTCCAACAATAACGGCGGCCTTAACTTGGGTGGTCGTTTCACTTAGTTCTGAAGTCAAGCCACAGGAACAGCTGTTCCACAGAGAAAGAGAAGGGCAGAAATGTCTTGTTCTGAGAGAAATAAAAGCAAGCCAGTTTTTTACTTCCTTTTCTGATCCTGAGATAAGTTAGAACAAAATATGGGGCCTGGCACTCGACTTGCTTAGAATAATGCCAATCACCTCAACTTTATTTTCTGCATTTCATTCATATGAGTCAGCTGGGAACCACTCCCATCCATGAGAGGGCAGGGAGCTGGCGTCCCACCTCTGTGGGGAAACCCTGAGGTTGGCCTGCAGGGTGTCTCCAGGGGCCCCTCTGGGTGCTGACAGTTGTTTGTGGGCAGCCCTCTCTGTTCCCCGACAGACTAGGCGGCAGGCTGGGCTGCTCTGCTCCCTGCACCACCCAGGCTGTTCTCAGGGCCCTTTTCAGGGTCCGGGAAGCCCTGCTCTTCCGAGGTCCTGAGATGGGTATTTATTTATTTCCCAATAGGCAGGCTCAGCCACTTCCTCCCTTTTCCTTTTCTCTAAAAAAAATAATTTCATGGGGAATGGATGTGGTAATGAGAGAAATGATACTGTATTAAAAATAATACTATTGTTGGTCCCACTGCCGAAATACCTTATTGTTTTAAAATTTTTCTTTATTTTTCAAAGCTCTTTTATTTCCATCATCTCTTTGGCTCCTCAAAACAGCGCCACTAAGTAAGGCAAGTATTATACACATTTCTATTTTACTAATGGGGGTAAGAGTGGCAAGAGGGCTCCAGGCTGGACACGCAAAGCCTCGAGCCCCGATTCCCACCCCACTGGAGCAGTTCCCTCACAGAATGTCTCCTGGGTGGGCCACCTTACTGTACTGATTTCCTACTTACAATGTTCATTGCCTCTTCACTGCTACATGATACAGTCTACAGATACTGCTTCGAGTCACTAGAGACTGGACCCACTGGGGACATTATCCATCCTACACTCCAACCACACAGGAATTCACTATGATGTGACCCAGCCTACTCTTTTCCATGTTGTACCTCTGTGGGTTCTCATCTATGTCTCTCTCTGTAGATGTTAGGTCCTTAAACAAACCTTATTCACCCTACATAGAATATGCTAGGAACAAGACAGAATTCTCGGTTAGTGTTTGTTGGATAAGAGGATAAGAGCACACTAAATCTGAAGTTCTGGACTGGCTGTCTACGGTTGCCCATCTTTGCTTAGAGATACATGCTGGGGATACATTCCAACAAGCATCCAGGAAGCCACCAGAGGGCTGGGCTCTCCCAAGTCAGGTAGATGAGGGCGCGGCTGTACACCGCGGGGAAAGCCGTCTGAGAGTGTGGACTCTAGGAGAGAGGGGTGCTCCGGCTGGGGTACAGTGGACAGCGGCACCGGGCTCTGAGGAGGACAGACCTGCTCCCCACTGCAAACAAGCTAACTCAGCCCCTTTTCCTTCTGAAATAAGAGCTCCCCAAGAAAATTCACTTATTTGTACGATATTGCATTCTTAGGCTATCAGAATTCCAGAGCTCACAGCAAACACCCTGAAACTGCCCCAGGGGCTCCGATTCCTGAGGCCTCTCCCCAGCAAAGCTCCGTGTGCATGTGTGGCCGCAGGACTCAGTTCAATGCCAAATGAACACTGCTGGTTGGAGCTGATGGGAAAATCAGAAGAAATTCTACACGTGGCAAATTTCTTGGGCCTGCTGATTTCCATTCCAAATCTGGTTGTAATACTCTGCACACCACAAGGCCACTTGTAGCTTCCAAGCATACCTTATCGTTTTTTTTTTTTTTTGATCTGGCCCTCAAAACATAGTTGTTGAATGAATACATTAATTGGCAGTCACATTTTACTTCCAAGATGGTTTCTGTAGAGCCCTCTCGCTCCCGCGGCAGCTTTGTGACAAGTGTATGACCTATTTCTCAATCCCTTATGCTTTCTGAGTCCTATTTCCCTTGAGTTGAAAAAGGGAAAACACTTTGATATTGCATTTTTAGCATTAGTAGCTGGGCCTTGCAACGCCAGTGATCTCCAGGTGACATGCTACCACCAATTTCCTGACAATTCCATCACTTGTCTCTGGTTTCCGATCCTTCTTTTGAAGCTAGAAGCATCATTTCAGTTAACGCAGAAAGGAGACGGCGGCATCCTAAAAGGCTTGTCTGCATCAACTCATTTTTAAATGGCCCCCCTTTTAAGGACTGGGGAGTGACACGCTCATCAATTTCGGTGGCTTTTAGCTGCAGATGATTTCACATACCCGCCTAATGACCATTTTTCATCTGAAAATATTTTTCTCTGCCTCTGTGCAACTTTCCCTCTCTCCCAGCTTGCCCTGGACACACATAATTATATACGTATTTAGAATATTGGATGGGACTTAGTTTATGGGGAAGGTAAGGACGAGGTACTGTGCAGCTGTTAGTTATTGAGTGCTGTTCTAGGAGCTGAACATACATTAGTCATGGAGTCATTCAACACTGAGTAACCACCACCATTCCCAGTGCCTCAGCTGCTCTATGCAGCATCTGTCCTTTGCCCTAGGCAGGCATTATCTCAGGAACCTGCCACCTGGAAGCCTCAGTGCTACCAGTTGCTGTCTCGCCCTGACTACGTGGCATCTAAACCACTCTTTTATCTTCCCCTCTCTTACTCTCCCACATCATTGTGCCTCCCGCAGGCTGACTCCTTCCTCAGCCTGCCCTCACTGCGGTAATGACAGCTGACGTTTATTGAGGACTCATGACACAACAGGTACTGCGCTCAAGCACGTGCATAGGTTAAATCATCTCATACGTCAACCCTATGAGGTATGTAGAAATGGCATTCATATTTCACAGATTAGGAATCTGAGACACAGAGAACTAACTTATGGAAGATTGCATGACTAGTGAGGGGGGAAACTGGAACTGAACCCGGGGTTCTATTCCAAAGTGCACACCCTCACTCCTATGCTGCACTTTCAGAAGGAGCTCAGAAGAAGCGTGATTTTCTTAGCTAGAAATCTGTGAATTTTGCAATTTACAAATGGCAGGAGGGTTCTTTTCCTTCTTCCTTGAGAAAAATGCCCGAGGGATCTATCATTGATGATTTCTGGGTTTTCCCTTCAAAGCACATTGGTGGGAGCTAGAAATCCAGGTCTGCCAGCCGCGCCTTTAGGTAAGTCCTCTTATTCCTCAGTTTTGTTATGTGTAATATGGCAATAATTATCTATTAAGTTCTTGTAAAAATGCTTTGGAGAAATTGTCTCAACAATGTAAGCTATGGCACGTGTCTGTTCTGCAATTACTAGGAATCTCAGGTACAACTAAAAACTGAGAAGTAAAAAAATATTAGCAGAGTGAGTCAGAGTTTTTAAAGAGTCAAGCCAGCCCCTCAGCACTCAGCGCTGGAATGCTTTCCTTACACAGAACATCCAGCCGCCATCAAAGCCAGGCTCTGCGGCTCTGGATTCACAGGGAGGGACAGCCACAGAGAGCCTGCGATCCCGGAGAGTGAGTGGCTGCCGTCTGTGTGGGCAGCCCCTTCCCCTTCATGGAGAAACCCGATGACGCCCTCGGTCCTCTGCTCACAGACATGACTTCATGTGCTCCAGCTTTCTGAGGGCCGAGCGGATCGCTCCTCACTCTGCCTCCTGGAAAGAAGACCCCTGTGCTGCCTGTACCCCTAAGGGGCAGCCCCAGGGACAAGTTGTATCAGGAAAGCAGAGGGGCACATTGGTGGAACTTGGAAGACACTGGGGCCTTCTCCCAAGAGTTCACTGAAGGAGACTAATGTGGAAAGGGTCTGGGAAACACCAAGTCACCCAGCCTTTCTTGCTGCCAGCTCCACTCTTGCCAGGCTCTCCTTTATCCACGATAGCAACCAGTGGACACGACAGCCTGGGTCAGCCTCCAGGTCTCGACCTGAGCTCAGAGGTCCTTGAGAAGAGGCAGCAGGTGCAGTCAGTCTGACTACCCTGGCTCCCTGGCCTCATTTCCAGCTCCCCTCACAGCTGGATCCTCTCCACATTGGCCTCTGGCTGTGAAGTCACCTCCAGATCTTTATTATAAGCAGGGACCTTCTCTCCATCACCAAGGAGAAAGACCCAAGGGTCCCAGAGAGGAAAGCATCCCCCTAGAGGCGGCAGTCATCTGCCCAGAAGCAGGGAGCTAGACCACGTGCCTTCCCGAGGTCCCTCTCAGGGAGAGGTGGTATTTCTTTAAGAGTGCTTCAATGGGCCAAGCCTACTCTCCAGGGCTCTTTAACAATGGGGTGATAAGAGTGTAATGGGCTGATTGCTCTGAAACCTATTCTGAAAAGGAAAATACACAGAGCAGTGCACAGTACCCTGTGACATGAAGTGAGAGTTTCCAAAAACTGGGCCTGCTTCTTCTTTAAAGTCCTGTTACCTCACACTGTTTGCTATGCAATTCCATAAAATGGAATCCTGGTGTACTTTTCTTCTCGTTTTATTGCTAGGGAACTGGTGTCTTTCCTATTTGGAAAATTATTTATTGATGAAAGAAATATCCATTTCTGTAAACATGTATATTGCTCTTCCTATTTATATGATAAGAAGTATTTAAAGTGGAGAAAAGGTTCCTGACCTCACAAGGACTTTTTCTTGTTGGCACTCTCCAGAGAGACAGCACAGGGAAACAGAATAAGCACAGGCCTGGGCGTTGGCAGACTTGGGGTGCGGGCTGAGCCCCACCCTGAAGGGCTGGAAAACCACAGCTGACTGTCAGCACCCCTCCTCCTCTGCTTCAACCCCTGGTCCTCAGTTTCCTTATTCCGTCTAGCGCTAAGGCTCTATGAGAATCCACTTCTCTGGACTTCAAGCACTGACCGCGAGCATTCTCACCACCAGCTACTCAAGGGTGACTTAGAGAGGGGAGGGAGAACCAAGGGTGGGCAGACCCACGCCGCGCCCCAGGTGCCAAGAACAAGCAGGAAGGATTCAGGCCCTGCTGGGAGGGCTGTTGTTTTCCCCACCCAGAGTTCACTTCCTTTTCTTTTCTATTAGACAAAGAAACTCCTCCACTCTCAGTCCTTGTGGTCTGAGAGGGCTGACTCGCCTCAGCGCCAAGGCAGGTGTGAAGCCCAGGCTTCAGCCAACGAGCCCGTCCCGAGCAGCTGGCCGCGATGACTGGTGTGGGAACGGGCGCTGGACCCAAGATTGCCAGCGACAGTGCGACCCAGGACTTTGGTTGGATCAGCTGGAATGAAAGAAGCGTGTACTGTTGCTGAGGTTAGCTGGGAGATGGCGCCTGGAGCTGTGGGTGGACGTTTTATCACGTCTAGGGGGAACCTGCCCCAAACTGGGGCCACAGGAAAGCGGAGCTAAGAGGTGGCTACAGACTGCATTCCAATCACATCACTTGTGTCCCTGTGATGAGAACTAATCCTGACTTTTCAGTTACATGAGTCAAGAAATTTCTGTTTTGCTCTAGACAGGTTGAGTCGTTTCTGTGATTTGCAATTAAAAGAGTCCTGACCGATATGTCCATAAATATATGACATTTCTTGCATCTTGGGCTGTTCATGTTGCTTTAGTTTACATTAGGACATAGGATCAGGAATGTCTGTATAGAACTAGTTTGTTCTCCTATTTAATGCAGGAATCTCCTGTATTGATAACGGCTCCATTCTGATTTTGAGTTAAATACCAAGGTATCAGAGAGATCACTTTCATCTGTAGAAGTCTGCTCAGCTTCTTTGATTTATCAAGTCATTAGAAAGCTTTTCTTATGTTGGCCCCAAATCTACACCTGTGAAATTGCTATCAGTGCTTTGTCTCTGGAGCAACACAGACAGAGGCTGCCCCCCAGACTGGCTTCCATCTTTCCTTCCACATACCCGCCCCTCTCTCTAACCGAGCAGGGTCCCTTACCTCAGGTTTCCATCTGAAAGCCATGAGTTGTGACTTCTAGGCTTGACTCTGTCTATCACTGATATCTTTTTTGTTTTGATTCCTTCTGTCCCTGAGTTTAACGATGTTTAATAATAATATTTAATAATGCTTAATAAAGTTTCTTGTCTTTCTGTCCCTTTCTTCACAATTCCTACTGCAACCACCATGGGTTATGCCCTTATTTCTTCAGGCCTGACTATATCAATAATCTAGCACTGTCTTCTTCTGTCCTCCCCTCTCACTCCACAATAATCTCTTTAAAATGCAGTGTAGGTTGTACCCTCCCCCAAACCCTAAATCATCCTTCTATTGTTTATTAAATTAACTAGCCCTGACATTCAAGGCCCCCTATACTTGTCCTCTGTCCCTCCCCAACTTTTCTAATCTTAATTCCTACCATGCCCATATCCTTTACATTCTGGTAAGAGTCCTCTGCCCAGCCTCGGCTTGCTAATCACTATCCTGTAGACACACTGTGTGCCCCAAACCTCTGCAGTCCCTATTCTTCCTTTTCTCTATCGATTACGGTTGGTCTTTCAAACCTAACTCAAATCCTTCTTGCCTCACCAGTTTAGAATGACCCCTGATGCACCAACTGCAAATACCACTAAGTCAGCACTTGGTTACACACTAGTTTCTCATCCCCTACTTATCACATGGTCTCGGAATTGGAGGCTACGTCAGCCTCCAACTCCTCACCCCTTTCCCACAGTTGGAGGGAGACGGCTACTACCCCTCCCACACTAAGGCCTCTCTCCGTGGCAGCCCTCCCTCCGCCCCTGCCTCCTCTCTCCACCCCCCTCCTCTCCCCCTTCTCTCTCCCCTCTGCAGTCCCTAGTCATGGAGGGACTGAGATTGACCCCTCCACATCTTGAGATGTCTCTCTTCATTTTGAATTATGTGTCTCTCCTAGACAATTCAAAATACAAGATCACAAATACACAGAACCAGACCCTGACTGGGCAGGGGTCCCCCGTCACCCCAGATGGATGAGTGAATAACTGACTTTGCGGTGTGCCCACTTCACTCAGGGGGGCAAAGGGGCTTTTCCAATTCTTTGGAAATGAATTGTGGTTACACGCTGGGCTTCTTTTCTTGAAGTGGCTGAAAGAAACACAACAGTTCAGTCCCACCTGGTCTTCCTTGGTTTTAGAAGCAGAGGGATGAACCACGTGTGGGGTGGGCAGGGTAGGGGTGGTAGGGCCCCCTCCTCTCCGCTTGGACCACACATCCCTACCCCAGGGCCAGGTGGGCATCTGGGGCTCAGGTGTGCCTCCTTTCTCTCCCTCCATCCCCCGTCCCAGAAGTCCAGGTGCAGGCTCCACTCGAAGCCGGGGCAGCCCCAGCTACGGCGGAGGAGAGCTGAAGTCACTCACCCATGTAGAAGTACTCTGGGGAACTGTCCTCCGACGAGAAATCCTTCATGGTGCCTCCAAACCGAAACCACAGTCCAAAAGCAATGACTGCCGACCCTGCCAGCTGAAAGGCAAACAGCCCGCATTTACAAGGGAGGGGAAAGTGTGTGCAGGACCTGGGAGGCCTGAGGCCCAGAATCTGAGGGTTGGAGGGGGGTCCCTAAGAAACCAGCCCGTCTCCCCTTCACGTTTCTTATAATAGGAGTGGAATGATGTGCTCAAAGCCCCCAGCCCACCCCAGGTCCCTGATGCAATATTAAAACTGGGGTTTCCTGATTGCAAGCCCGGAGTTTCTCCCATTCTGCCAGGCTGCCCTGCGGTTATGGGGCATACACAGCACAGCCCAGGAGGCGTCTCAGAAGGGGTATTCCCACAACAGTCCCCCGGGAAGGTATTTGGTTCCTGCCCTATTGTCCCCTGCTGGGCACTTGGGATTTCCTCACCAACACCACAGTGAGAGGTCACCGAGAGCAAGGTGAACTCCAAGACTGGGGGAAACCCACTTTTTTAAATGGGAAGAAAACACGCCAACCTCAGAACCTGCCCACACCTCCTGAGTGTGCAGTGCCCAGTTAGAAAGCCGTTTCAGAGGCGTCTAGAAGCCGTCCTAACCCCCCGGCTGCCACTGTCACTGTGCCGCACTGCCTGGGGATGGTTTTGCAGGCAGTGAGGGAAACTGGCTGGGGTTGTTTTGTTTCTTTTTTTTTTTTTTTTTGGTTGCTATTTTGGGTTTCCATGGAAAGCAAGAAAGGAAAAAGTAATTTTCTGAAAAAGCCTGGTCTGTGTGCTGCGTGGCTCAGGGAGAGGCTGAGTGGCCGGCGCAGGCAGCGGCTGGGCAGGCTGGCAGCTGGTAGAGTCATGGCCCGCTTCCTCTCCGCCACTCGGAGGACTTTTGTGAGGCTCCGCACCTGAGCTGGAAGCCTTTCCTTCCCAGGACTGTCACAAAGGCCCGCCAGCAGGCTCCTCTCTCTCCACAAACACCCATCTCGAATTTCATTGTGTCAATCAACAGATGGCCACTGGCACCTTCTGGACTCAAGGCACCACAAGTGAGCAGAGATGTAGAAAGAGCCCCGTGGTTCTGCCAACCCATCCAGTTAGTGTTGGGCTCCCCTAACCCATCCCCAGACCAACAGTTTAGAGGCTGCCCCCGCCCCAGCAGGGAAGAGTAGACACAGATGCCGGCAAAAGGGAGAGAAGCACACAAGTCAGAGAAGTAGAGGTTTAATAAGGAAAAATGATGTCAAAGTCAGGGTCAGACCAGAGCCCTGTTTATACAAGATCCTTCTGTCTGTGGGCTATTTGTAAAGGGCCGGGGCTATCTGTCTGAATATATATGAGGACTTTATCTTTCTTCACTCTCCATCTTCCCAAGGCCCATTCCCTCCATGGCCAGCTTCTTAAGCAGAGCAGCATGACTGCTGCAGGAGGAACTGGAGGGGCAGAGGTCTACCAGCTGGACTCTCTAATGTGGAACAACTAAAAGTTTCCAGTACTTAGACGAAAGCACTAATTAGATAATGTGAGGAACAGCTAAAGGAACTGGGTGCAACCAGCTTTCAAAGGTTTTTGCATTTTTTAAAAGGGTAGCAAGGCGTGGAAAAATATTCCGAGAAGTCATGTCAAAACATTAACAATACTTTTCTTTGACAGGTAAAATTACAGGTGACTTTTCTCTTTTCACGATACTTTCTAAGGTTTGTGCGTGAAGCAGGTATTACTCTTGTAAGTTTAAAAGTGTGATATGGTAGTTTAACTGATCAGTCCAGAAAAAAAATGGGGAGAGTTTTCTTGGGCTGTGCTTTAGTTTGGGAGGAAATCGGCTTTGAGGTCATTGCTGTTTCTGGTGCAGGGAAGAGGTCATTGTGAGGTCACTGCTGTTTTCTGATGCCCTTGGGAAAGCCCCATCCTTGGAGTGCTAGGGGCTCCCTGGGACAGATGTGCCCAGCAAAGCCTCACAGGCAGCCCTGCCTACGCCGCCTCTGCAGCAACTCGGTGGAAAGAGTTTCCAAGTACGAAGCGAAAATCTGTTGATGGAGGCGTCAGGCCAAGGCCTGTAATCACCGAGCAGACTGTGGAGGAGGTGACTGGTCCCAGGGACACCCTATCACGAGGCCACATTTTTGGCACCTCTGACCACAAGCTCTAATTTATAGCTGTCTGGGATCATCCTCCCAGACGGAATACATTTGTCCATTTTTGGCACCGATGTGTTTGATGCATAATGGAAAATTAAAAGAGAGGCTGCAATTTAAAGCCAAGGGGCAAAATGAGAAAAACTCGGCGCCTGCTCGTCCACACCCCGCCAACCCCAAACCCAGGCTTTCCTCCTGGGTCAAGGAAACTGTGGTGTGGCTGAATGTCGTCACTGCGGAGGGAATCCTCCCAGCATGCCGCCGGATCAGGAAAACTGTGGGCGGGGCCAGGTCAAGCCCGAGGCTGCGCCTGATGACAGCCATCCCCGATTTGGAAAGTGGCATCAACAGAGACAATGAAGCCCTTTGGTCCTTTGTAACTCGCTGTTCTTTCAAGACTCTTGAAATACTCTGTGTTCACTGGACCTTGGTTGCTCTATCACACACCTGAAATTGCTTGAAAAAAATTCACACCGGGCTTCCCTGGTGGCGCAGTGGTTGAGAGTCCGCCCGCCGATGCAGGGGACACGGGTTCGTACCCCGGTCCGGGAAGATCCCACGTGCCGCGGAGCGGCTGGGCCCGTGAGCCATGGCCGCTGAGCCTGCACGTCCGGAGCCTGTGCTCCGCAACGGGAGAGGCCACAACAGTGTGAGGCCCGCGTACCGCAAAAAAAAAAAAAAAAAAAAAAAAAATTCACACCAAGTCCAGTCCAGTCAGGGGCAAAGTGAGCAAGTCTGGTGTCAGTAAGGCCCATTGCTCTGTGCGTCCCATACCCGGGAAGAGAAGTCTCACTGAGCAGCCTCTAGTGCTAAATTTTAACCCTACTAGACCAACCCCCCAACCCCACCCCATGCCCCTATTCTCAGCCCCTCCTTTGCATTCAGATACAACACTGTACCTCTGGTTGCACCTCAACACTGCAGCCAACATGAGAACAAATAAGGATGGAGAGGCTGCCCCTTCATGTTGCTTTCCTTCTCGTGCCCCCGCCCGTCCTCATCTGCTCTCCTTCCTCCCTGTCTTTCACGGAGGAGGTAACTATGGTCCTGACTGGGTACCGTGTTAAGCATTAGGGAAGCAATGATGAAAAAGACATGAAAAGTCTGACATGGAAGATAATCCCGTAAACTAATAAATGCCACAGGACGCAGGAAGTGTGCTCCACGGACCTGCTTCACTGCCCAGGGATTAGAGCAAAGCGTGATGACCAGCGTGCAGCAGGTGTTCCATTTTGACTTACAGCTTGAAGAATGAGTTAGAAGTGTCGGAGCAGGGAGGGACTGGAGGGAGGAGTGAATGCCAGGCAGAGGGAACAGTGTGGGTAAGGGCTGCGCTGCCTTTCATGGAACCCTGTGCTGGGGAGAGAGAGGAATCTGGGGAAGGTTGGAGTCTGGGGCTTGAAACAGGAGTTAGGGCACACGGCTCACGGCTTGTACTAAGCTTGCTACCATTGTGGAAAGTCCATGGCAGGGCCTTGAGGAGAGGGGAGGCGGGAGCCCTCATTCTGACGGGGGCAATGAGCAGCACGAGTGCTGCCTGATGCCAGACACGATGAGAAGCCAAAGGTAACGACCTGAGTGGTTGAAGGCCAGAGGGGGGATGTTAGGGGCTGGACGCGGTGATCGGCAAGGACCATGGTGGATCCGCTCTACCAACCGAAGAACTTTGCCGAGGGCTACTCCGCATCCGCGACTAGTACCAATCCCCATGCCTTTGGAACAATTACCATTAGAAATACTGTTTTTCCAGGGATGGACTTTTTCATACAACAGCATGAGTAGGGCTTTGATGCTAATCATTTAATAAACATTTGCTGAGCATCTGTCCTGAGCCAGGAGGCAAGGATTCATAGATAAGGAAGATCCAGTTCCTTCTCCAAAGGATCTCAGGGGCTAGTGGAGAAACTGATCCCACCTCTGTGGCCCAAGAGGGACTCTAACAATGCAGGTCAGAGAACCAGCCCCTGAGAAGACCCCAGATGTCATCATTCTTTGCATCACCATTTGTCTTCTGTGCACCAATTGTGCATTAAGCACTCAGAGAATGTGATGCAACAGGATTTTGAGGGCAAAAGTGTGTACACTAGTTAAAAAGAAGAGAGAAGTAAAATAGAAAAAGAAGATAGAAATGTAAGGAATAGACGATGACATTAGATCGGGGATTACCTGGTACAATTACATTATGCATTTTCATGGACAAGTCATTTCAGTAGCTAACCATATTCCAGAGAGTCTGCAGGACAAAGTTGCAAATTGTAAGCATATGTCCATGGAGAAGACTGTATGTGTTCTAAAACTAAAGCAGCAGAAAAGAGGACTACAGACCCAACTGGAAAACTTTTAAAGCAAAGGGGATGAACAAAAAGTTTCCTTTAATTAATGTTTATCTGCCAGAAAACAAGTCATTTAACATGAAGCAAAGCTTGTTATTGGATTTCAATTATATTGTGCTGTATTTATTTCCACTCTCCTGGGATTGCTGATGAAATGTTCTATCTTGAGGACATATTCTTTTACTTAAAAAAATTTTTTTTTCATGAATCACAAACGTGGTTCTTAGGAAGGCACCAAATTGGAGGGAGGGTAGTGCTGAGATACAAAAATGCGAAGATCACTCCCCAGGCCTGGGTCCTTCATTCTTCTCAGCCCCCCCCACCTCCACCCCCTGCCTCCAGCAGAAGGTAGCCCACCCTGATCACAAAGAGCGAATACATGCTACTGTGCTGTCTGATGACTAAACCCACCAGAAAGCTCCCTTTCTGGGTAAAAAGCATCACTTAGGGATGTTCTCAGGCAGCTCATGTGCTTTTCCCTAGATAGGAGACCCAGTTAATTATCCTCAGAAGCTCTAGCCACACAGTTTCAGTTCCTTTTCCCACTTGGGGACCCTGCTCTTGCTATTTCCTTAGCTTACAAAGTTCTCCTCTGC